AAACTTTCACTCTTTAGAAAACACTAACAAAGTAAAAGACAAAACACAAACTGGGAAAAAACAGATGCAAAACATGTGATAAAGGACACATATCTACAACATATAAAAATTCTTATAGTTCAATAGTAAACAGACAAACAAAACCTCACCTCAAGAGGCAAAAGTACACATAAAATGGGAAATTTGATGTCATGCATATTTTACCACAATTTAAAAAAGAAAAAAGAGGGGAATGGGGCTCAAAAAAAGAAAAGAAAAGAAAAAGTACCACCACAAACCACAACAACAAAAATGGGCAAAAGATTTGAACACTTAACAAAGGCATAGCCACAAATGGCCAGTAAGCACATGAAAAGAGGCTGAGCAGGATTAGCCAAGGAAAAATATATATATTAAAACCACAAGCCATCACAGCATGCCCACCAGAATGGCCAAAATCAAAATACACCACCAAATACTGGCAAGAATGTGGAGCAAGCTAACTTTCATATATCATTTGTGGTTGTGTAAAACAGACACACTCACTTTCAGAAAAGGTGTGACAGTTTCCTATAAAATTAAGCATAAACCTGCACTTGATCCAATAGTCATACTCCTAAGTATTTTGAACAAGAGGAAAAAAATATATACTTAGTGCAAAAATTTATACAAAATTATAATAATCAGGGGCCTCTCTGGTGGTGCAGAGATCAAGTCTTAGCACTATCAAGCTACTGCCAGCCACTGCAACATGAGGACATGAGTTCAATTTCTGGCCAGGGAGCTAACCCACACGGCCCAAACAGACCACTCCTGTCTCGCCTGCTGCTTCCCTCAGCAGTGTATTTCAGTAGATCTGCCTCTTTTGCTCTCCACTCTATCTCTGGTGAATCCTCTCACCCCCTGCACCTCTAACCTATACCCCAATTCTTGTATGCATAAATAAATAAAAATAAATCTTTTACAAAATTATAATAGTAATAATAGCCAAAAACTAGACTACCCCAAAGCCAACCAACAGTCGGGAGGATAAGCAAATTTTGGTACATTCATGCAAAGGAATGCTATTTGGCAGTAAAAATAAATAAACTTTTGAAAGTTCATTTGAACCTTCTAATACTAATATGAATGCCTCTCAAAAATACTACACTGAACAAAAGAGACTATGTACTGTAAAATTCCATTTATATGAAATTCTAAAAAACGGCAACTTAATAATAACAGATAGCTGATTAGTCGTTGCCTATATTCTATGGCAGAGAGTAAGATTGCAAAGAAGTAGGAAGGAAGTTTATGGCATGGTAGAAATAGTCTACATCTTGTTTGTGGTGGGTTTTACACTGACATATATACTCCTCAAGCTCATCAAAGTATATTCTTAAGATGGGTACACTATATTACATATAAATTATAACTCAAGAAAGTTGATTTTTAAAATCAACTCCATTTTATAATGGAGTAGGGCCTCCCTGGTGGTACAAGGGATTAAGACGCAACCTATGAAGCTTTCGCAGCCACTGCAGCATGAATTCAATCCCCAGCTAGGGAGCTACCCACATGGCGCAGCAGATCTCTCCTGACTCTCCCGCTGCTCCCCTCAGCAGTATATTTGACAATCCACTTGTTCTGTTCCCCACTCTGTCTCTGGTGAATCCTCTCACCACCCATACCTCTGGCCTGTACCCCAGTTCTTGTATGCATAAATAAATAAATCTTAAAAAAAATATTTTTATAAAAAATATATATGTAAACCCAAAAAAAATATGAGGCAACTTTATACCAAAGCATGTCACCTTTTTATTGTAAGAATGTTGAAATCACTCCTTTTTTAGAAATGAAAAACTCTATGAGAGATGTTAAATGAGTTTCAGAGGAACCAAAACAAGACCAAAAGCCACACAGTCTTTCAGGAAACAACTGCTATCTCAATGATAGAGCATATCATATAGTGTATATTCTTAAAAGCTATCAGAAGGGAACTTACTTTAGTTGGAGCAAATAAATGCAGAGTACTACTGAAAAATGCCTACAGGCTTTTACAGCCATCTGCTTGCAATTCTAACATCAGAATGAAATTTACCAAAAAATTCTTCCACATAATAGGTAGATAATGATCCCTTACTTATTTACCCTTTCATGCTATGTTTATTTCCCTGCTGTTATCAGGACCTGATTTAAAAGCAGGGAAAAAGCAATGTCAGTATGGAGTCTCTCTGAAAGCAGGAAGGAAGTACTTCAGACTAATTAAGGCCAGCATGATATTCATAGTGGCCAATCTCATTCCAACAGAGTTAAAGTAATCATTCCAATATTTGTTCCCTGTCAGTCATGCCAGGAGCCAAAAGAAGTGAGAAAGCATAAACACATATATATGCATAAAAAGAGGGGAAAAAATTTAATGTATTATAATCTGCTTCTTGCACACCAGAATTTGTAACAATCCAAAAATATATAATCACTGCACTTCAAAAAGTTAATAGTTAAAAGGTAAAACTTACCAATCCTCCCATGCAAACTTACCAATCCTCCCAACCAAATTACGAACATATACTGAAAACGCAGTGTTCATGATCTTCTCTTATCCTACTTCCACTTACTCACTTCCATTGATAATAAAATCATCTTGCTAAGAAATGTTAAGGGGAAAAAAGATATTCTGATGGTTCACCGTGTGTGTGTGTGTGTGTGTGTGTGTGTGTGTGTGTGTGTATGTGTATATACATATGTATATATGTAAATATATATATATATATATAGTCTGTATTTGACTTACAGATGTCCTTGTTCAATCACATAAATGCCAATTTTGTCAATTCAAAAAAAGGATTCCATATTATCTATAATTCCATATTACCTACTCATATTTACCCAGTCTGAATCTACTCACCTTTACAGCCTCCTTTTTTTCCCCAAAGATTTATTTATTTATGCATATAAGCCCTGGGGTATAGGGCAGAGGTGTGGGGAGTGAGAGGACTCACCAGAGACAGAGTGGGGAACAGAACAGGCAGATTGATTGAAATACACTGCTGAAGGGAGCAGCGGGCAAGACAAAAGAGGTCTGCGCACCATATGGGTTAGTTCCCTGGCTGGGGATCGAACTCAGGCCATAGTAGCTGGTGATAGCTTAGTAGCACTTAGACTTGATTCCTGTGCCACCAGGAAGCCCTTCATAAAAATTTTAAGTTATTGTTCTGTGAAAGGCAAGAGTGAGAGAATGAAAATATAAGCTATAAACTGGGGGAGAATATTTGCAAACCATATCCTTGAAAGGATTTGTACCCAGAATACATATAAAGAACTCTCAAAACTCAACAGTAAGAAAACAACTCAATTTTACAACAGACAGAAGATGTGGATACCACATAAAGACAACAGAAGGATGACCAAAAAAAGCACATAAAAAGATGTTCAATATCACTAACCATTAAATGAATGCAGATTAAACCACAGTAAGATATCACTACACACCTATTACAATGGTTAAAATAAAAATGCCAACAATATCAAATGCTGATGAGAATGAAGAGCACTTAGAATTTCCACATATTGCTAGTGGGACTGCAAAACAGTTACAGGCACTCTGAAAAAGTGTGGCAATTTCTAATAAAGCTAAACATATGTTTTACCTGACTTCAAACTTAACAACAAAGCAACAGTATTACAAACAATATGATACTGGCACAAAAATAAGATATATGGAACAGAATCAAAAAGCCTAGAAATAAACCCAGTACATACCAGCACCTAGCCTATGATAACTTCCAAGGTCACAAAATGAGGAAAAGACAGTCTCTTTAATTGGTGCTAGGGGGCCTCCCCTGGTGGCGCAGTGGTTGATCGCTGGAATGCAAAGCTGCCTGCAGCCTCTGCAGCGCTGGCTCGATCCCCGGCCGCCACAATCCCCAGCCACCGCCGCCCCCAACAGGAGTCCCACACAGTGCGACAGACCTCTTCTGCTACACCCGCTGCTCCCCCAGCAGTGTATTTTGTCAGTCTGCCTGTCCTGTTCCCCTCTCTGGCTCTGGTGAATTCTTTCACCCTCCCGTGCTTCTGACTGTACCTAGTGCTTGTATAAATAAATAAATCTTTAAAAAAAAAAAAAGCAGTATATAAAACCACACACAAGTTAATTTTTTAATGTTTTTTTTTTAAGATTTTTTTTATTCACAGAAGAACTAGGGTATAGGCCAGCGGTACAAGGGATGAGAAGATTCACCAGAGACAGAGTGGGTAGCAGAACAGGTGGATTGACTGAAATACACTGCTGAAGGGAGCAGCAGGCAAGACAGGAGAGGTCTGCTACACCATGTGGGTTAGCTCCCTGGCTGGGGATAGAATTCAAGCCTTAGTGGTAATACTTAATGCCTACGCCACCAGGGAGGCCCTTAACTTTTATTTTTAAAGGTATGTGTGCAGACACTTACATATCTACATATAATACTTTAAAAATATGCCATAGTATTATAACTCGGTTGTAAGATTATAGATGATATTTATTAGTATTTCATAAATTTTCTATAGTAAGCATATTACTTTCATAAATTTTCTATTAGTCAATAAGTATTTCTTTAAATCATGTAAAATTACTTCCAAAAGGAATTTTAAAATGTTTTCTAATCCAGATTATCTGATATTACAGTGATCACAAGCATTTCATTGTTACATAAGCATGATAATTCTATATACAAATTTGTCTTTTAGTTACTAACCCCAAATGAACCATGACTGCCCAGAGGCAGAAGATCTATAGATAATGGCATCTCATTAACACTGCCACCCACAGGGGAAGAACAGTGTGTATATTAGGCTGACTCTTGTTATTTCTATAACATATAGAGACTTATGAACTGGTATGTCTATACTTTTTTTTTAAGTTCAGAATTAAAGAAACCATTAAAAACGGTTACCTTTTTTGGTCAAAAAAGAGATTTGTATTTTTCTACTACTTGAATTTTGAGTCATTTTTGCACTCTTGCTTTTTCTTTTCTACTTTTTGCTTTCTGTTATTTGCTACTTACCTTGGAGCACTTCTCCAGCACTTCCTCCTGGAACTTAAGGAATCGCTCCTGAACTTCAGCTTCATTGAGAAAAAAGGAAAGGAAGTGAGTGGAGGGCTGCTTTCTTCTAAAAGTGAGCAATAGAACATCAATTCGAGTTCGGGCTGAAATTACACCACTTCGATGCTGGCCAGTGATCACTGCAAGCAAAAAGAAAGAGGGGGAGGGGTGTATAGAGGGGTTAACAAGTTAACAAAGCAATATTATCTTCTACATATGAAACTGGAAACTTAAAAGTAAAAACATTCATCCCACATGTATATTGTATTATGGACATCAAATTTCCATCTTTTGGCGTAATTTCATCTTCATTGATCCAGGCTATGTTTTTGTGTTGTATTTTTTTTTTCTTTTCAATTGTGTGTGTGTGTTTGTGTGTGTGTGAGTAGATGAACTGGGGAGCAGGCCAGAGGTACGGGGGGTGAGAGGATTCATCAGAGACAGAGCGGGAAGCAGAACAGGCAGATTTACTGAAATACACCAAGGGGATCAGCGGGCAAGACAGGAGAGCTCTGCTGTGCCATATATGGGCCAGCTCCCTGGCCGGGGATCAAACTCAGGGCATCGAGGTAGGCTAGGTGGGCGAGGGCAAAGTCGGCCAGGGAGCCCTACGCCACCAGGGATGCCCTCCTTTCTATTTCTTAAGAAACAGAATTGTTTCCAGAGAAACAAGATGGAAATTTCTAAGAAGTAAATTATGAATGAAGGTGTTACGGGAATCCAGCCATCTTAGAGGTGGGAGCCGGCAGGACAGTGGTGGTCTCTCACCGTGCTGCCCACCATAAGTCAGTTGTGGCAGTTGCTCCTCAGAGCTCAATAACTGCCATTTGTAATCAACCAATCAGCAGTGAGCTGCGAGCTGATTGGTGCTAAATGGTCCAATCAGACTTGTGGGTGAAAGAGGACATAAGCCAGGGTTGGAGGGAGCTAAGGGAGCCCCCCAGAAAAAGGAGATGACAAGGAGAGGCCCCAGAAGAAGGAGATGACGACCAGGGCCCCTGAAGATGAAAGAAAAATGACGACAGACCCCTGAAGAAAAGAAGACGGTTCCAGCCTCCAAAGAAAGAGGAAAAGAAGCATCCAGCAGCCGCCCTGCGAGGAGGGACGAGGAGCTGAGGGACTCTGTCACGGACTGGCCCTGGGCCTGTCTCTAAAGTTGCCTGAAAGGAGCACCAAAGGCCCGGGCCTGGTGCCTCTAAGAGCTGTTTGTTGTTGGTACCTGGGTGAGGTGGCCGCCACTTGTGGGTACAGTGAGCTTGTTATTTCCTCTGTTGGTAAATAAACCCCATGGCTTCTGTTCCTGGAGTCTAAGTTCTCTTGCAATTATGTGCATGGGTGAAAACCCACAGTGACCTGTCTTCTTATCAGGCACTGTCTTTTAGCTTTTGGTTATTGGCCTTTTTGACCTTTTGGGGCTTTTGGTGGCTCTCTGGTCTCAGAGACCCTGTGGCCTCTTTTGTGGCCCTCTCCGCCCCTATTTCAGTTGGTGACCACGAAGGGACTCCAACGCTCAAAAGTGGGCTCTCTGCCCCTGTTTCAAAAGGATTAGTCTGAGAACTATTTGGGGAAAAAAATGAGATTACAACCAAAAAATGTATAAAGCAGAGCTAGAATGTTTTCTAATAACATTACGTTTACTATGAGAAAGAATATTCTGAGAATCCATAGGACTCAAATGCCCAGCAAAGAAAAGTATAACAGGTACTCAAATATTGTGTAAGAGAAATACTGATTGAGGGACATTCAAAGGTAAATTGAGACATTAAAGGAAAGTAGAAGTTATAATTATCTCCTTCACAGGCCAAAATTATGGTGAGTAACTAAAAGGAAAAGGAGTAAAAGGAAAGGAAACTTAAAACTCATGTTTATGTTTTATTTCTATAAACATTTTGTATAAAAAAACTAAATCTGTGGGGTTTTGGTAGAGAATAAAATTAAGAACATGTTTTCTTTTTTGCAACACAGAAAACTAAAAGGGGCTCTTGAAAGGTACTCAGACTGACTTTCAGAAAATTTCAAAGTTATCATGCAATTACTAAAAAGCGACCATAGGTTAAAAATAGCCTACGACTATAAAAATCAGAGCAGATCAGCATTACATGGCATGAGTCTAAGAACTACACAAAGAATACACAAAGGAAGAAAATCAGTAAAGGCATTGATTTAAATTATAAAAAGCCTATTTAATATCTAATGACAATATCATTTTTTTTTAAAGATTTATTTACTGGACCTCCCCTGATGGCGCAGTGGTTGAGTGCTGGGCTGCGAAGCTGGGTTCGACCCCCGCCACCAGCAAGGGTCCCACATGGCGCAACAGACCTCTCTGCCACTCCTGCTGCTCCCTCAGCAGTGTATTTCATCAGTCTGTCTGTTCTGTTCCCCGCTCTGGCTCTGGTGAATTCTCTCACCCTCCTGTGCTTCTGACTGTACCCAGTGCTTGTGCATATAAATAAATAAATCTTTTTAAAAGATTAATAAATAAATTTAATAAATAAATAAAGATTTATTTTTTTATTTATACAAGAACTGGGGTACAGGCCAGATTCGTGGAAGGTGAGAGGATTCACCAGAGACAGAGCGGGGAAAAGAACAGGCAGATTGACCGAAGTACACTGCTGAGGGGAGCAGTGGGCAAGTCAGGAGAGGTCTGCTGGGAAGCTCCCTGGCTGGCCCGGAATCGAACTCGTGCTACAGCTACATAGGTTGCTTCTTAACCCTTGCACCACCAGGGAGGCCTCCAACTGCAATCTTGATTTTACATCACAATTTACTCTAACCAATAAATTTGACTTCTCTGTATATTCACTTCCCTATAACCAACAAACCAGTTTACCCTCGTTTTCAATTAAATTAGTTCTACCAATTAGCACAAAAACACTGTGCTAAGTCAAAATAGAACTTCTACAGCCTGGGCCTCCCTGGTGGCACAAGGGGTTGAGCACCGCACTATGAAGCAATCCACAGCCTCTGCAGCATAAGTTCAATCCCCTGCTGGCCAGGGAGCAACCCACATGGCGCAGCAGACCTCTCCTGACTCGCCCGCTGCTCCCCTCAGCAGTGTATTTCAGTCAATCCACCTGGTCTGTTCCCCTCTCTGTCTCTGGTGAATCCTCTCACCCCCCGCATCTCTGGCCTGTATCCCAGCTCTTGTATGCATAAATAAGTAAATGTTCTAAAAAAAAAAAAAAGAAGAAGAAGAACTTCTACAACCTGCCTACCTTTTTTCTGGGTAAGTTTTGGAATGACTCTAGTATCTTAAAATTAGGTCTCCACATTTATACCATGCTATAAATATCACTGCAACAGAAGCTACTATATACTATCATATGGATAGAAAAAAAATAAGGTAACATAGTCAATTGTTAATAGTAATTACATTCAGGGTTTGTATTACAAGAGCTCTTCCTTTATAACTTATAATTTATTCACCTTTCCATTTTTTAGAAAGCATGCATTAACTTTATAAAAAATAGATTATTAGAGGCTACTACACTTATTTGACTTTGAAGAAGTCCTATAGTTTCAGAATAACTTAACAAAAGAATTCTTCCCACAGTGCCACTCACTTTAAGTCATTTTACAACACAAGCCTGTGCCTTTGGTTCACAGTGATATTGGTGGTACAGGCATTTTCTGACTTGATTTACATTACAAAACTATTTTTCCTCACTTGAGTAGTTATTGAATCAGATAGTTATTTTAATCATTACTCATATAATTCCCTTTTCATTCTACAAGGCAAGGTAAAAACTTAAAATAAAACTTATAAAAAGAGCTGAACTTTATTTCAAATTTGCTGATCTCATTGGTTTTTTCAAATTCTAACTTGAAATGATTCAAAAATTCCATTTCAAGCTATCGAAGCAGAAACCTCCTAATACACAATGAAATCTGGAAGCTTTATTCCATCAGTAAATGGTAAAGTATAAAATGAAGGCCCAAGTACTCAATCAAGACAAGGTTGTATAAATACATCTCTCCTCATTTGGGGAACTAATACTGATACATCCTAAAAAGGCTGATAGTTACAAAACCCTGTAAGAACAGAGTCACTAATCACCCCAATTGGGTTACATTATTCCCTACATATATAAAAATGACCACAAATATAACATACATAATGGATCTCACCAATTTCTCCTTCTTGTCCTGGCTTAGGAATGCTAATCGAAGTTTTGGTCTCCATTTCTAGTTTCTTCCTAGTGTCCCCTCTCTTTCCAACTATATGCCTAAAACATAAAGAAATATTGATTAATAGAGAGGGCTTAAGTAAAAATGTTCAAAATAAGTAATTTCTTCAGGTTTTAATCATGTGTGACCAGAAATGACTTCCTTACAGAAAAGTGCTTCACTAAAATCTCAATATAGAGGAAATTACAAATCATGTAGTTTCATAGAACATGCTGCATTACACTCATTGGCAAAATGCTGTCTTATAGCCAATTCAATATATAGACAGCATACAAATAATGCATAGACAGTAACTATGCCCAATACCTGTTTAGCTCTTAAAATTAGATTAAAACCTGGGTCTGCCTTAGTGGAAGTACTGCTAGCATAGTCCCATTCCTTCCAGCAAGGAATGGGTCTACAGTTGGAGGAGGGAGACCCTTGTCCTTTTGAAGAACAAAATTAACTATACTATGAATTCATCATAAAAGAATCATCCTTGATTAATTAAAGGTAAAGAGTTTAGCAAAGAGCAGGATTCACCATTTACAACACATTTATATTTCCTCTAAAGATATGGATTTCCAGGTTCTATAGAAAAATAGAAGGCATGGAACTCATGGCAACAACATCCCTAAGTATGGAAGACAAACTCATCACAACACCCACTACTCCCTACCATCCTTCACCAATTCCATTTTCATCATTTATTGATTTCAAGTACATTACTTGCCTAGGCCTTCCAGTATAAATAATTCTGAAAATCCAAGGTTATCTTCTGGAACCCATACTAATTAGATGTCTTAAAGTAAATGAGACTATTTGATCCCAGGAGAGACGTTTCAGAGTCTATAAAGTACTAAGAGACCATAACAGGACTATAAAGTTAAGAGAAAAGCTATCCCATCATCAACAGCATTTCAGCTTCTGATTTCAATTATAGTAGCCAATACCCTGGATGACTATGTCAAAAACTGCATTTGTTTTTACAGGTTTGTTTTACATGTTGTTGTCTCCATTAATCTATTATAGTAAGTAAGTTTTTCAAAAACATGCTTAAGAGCCTCCCTGGTGGCGCAAGGAGTTAAGCACAGCACTGTGAAGCTATCCACAGACTCTGCAGCACGAGTTCAATCCCCAGCAGGCCAGGGAGCTACCCACACAGCATAGCAGACCTCACCTATCTCGCCTGCTGCTCCCCTAAGCAGTGTATTTCAGTCAGTATGCCTGTTTTGTTCCCTACTCTGTCTCTGGGTGAATCATCTCATCCCCTGCACCTCTGGCCTGTACCCCAGTTCTTATATGCGGTTGAGTGCTGGGCTGCGAAGCTGCCTGCAGCCTTTGCAGCGCCAGTTCAATCCCTGGCTGCTCCCCGGCCACTGGAGGAGGATCCCACATGGCATGTAGACCTCTCCTGCTGCCCGCTGCTCCCCTCAGCATGTACTTCAGTCTGCCTGCTCTGCTCCCCACTCTGGCTCTGGTGAATTCTCTCACCCTCCCGCACTTCTGACTGTACCGAGTGCTTGTATAAATAAATAAAAATAAATCTAAAAAAAAAATTTTTTTTTAAATTAAAAAAAAAAAACGGGAAATAATTGTGGTTAAAGAGGTTTTAGAATCAAACTTTTGGCAAATAATTTAACGACTCTAAGCCTATTTCCTCAAGTATAAAAATGGAGTGAATAATACCTATGTATCATAAGGTTGGGGTAAGGATTAAATGTGATCATACATAAAAGGGTTGCAATTGGCACACAGCTCAGCACAGTCTGTACTATCCTCATTAAGCCCAAAATGGCTTCCATCCAGTTAAAAGTACAGCCAGACTCAAAAGAGGGTTACATGGAAAGTCTAAAACATTCACTACAATAACACATACATGCAGTGAAAGGATGACTCCTTTGTTGCATATGTAAGTGGAAATTCCAAAAAGATTGAGGGTCTCATTCTTAGCTACACAGTGAAATCACCTGGGATAGTTCAAAACCAAAGTCCAACTCCCAGAGACTTTGATTTAGTTGGTCTGGGAGACACTGAAAATCCAGGCTTCTTTTTTTTTTTTTAATAAAGACCAGCATTTTGGGCCTCCCTAGTGGCACAGGGATTAAAGACAGTGCTATCGGGTCTCCCTTGGTGGCCCAGCGGTTGAGCGCTGGGTTGCGAAGCTGCCTGCAGCCTCTGCAGTGTCGGTTCGATCCCCGACTGCTCCCCGGCCACCGGAGGAGGGTCCCACATGGCACGCAGACCTCTCCTGCCGCCCGCTGCTCCCCTCAGCAGTGTACTTCTTCGTCAGTCTGCCTGTTCTGCTCCCCATTCTGGCTCTGGTGAATTCTCTCACCCTCCCACGCTTCTGACTGTACCCAGTGCTTGTATAAATAAATAAATTAATTTAAAAAAAAAAAAAAAGACAGTGCTATCAAGCTATTGCCAGTCATTGCAGCATCGCATGCTGCTCCCCTCACCAGTGTATTACAGTGGATCTGCCTGTTCTGCTCCCCACTCTCTCTGGTAAATCTCTCACCTGCCTCCCAGCACCTCTGGCTTATACCCCAGTTCCTGTATGCATAAACAAATCTTTAAAATATAAATAAAAATAAAGACTAGCATTTTATTTTATATATATATATATATACATATATATATTTTTTTTTTTTTTTGTATAGAAAAACTAGGGTATAAGCCAGAGGTGTGAGGGGTGAGAGGATTTGCCAGGGACAGTGAAGAGCGTAACAGGTAGAGCTACTGAAATACACTGCTAAGGGGAGTATTTGGCAAGACAGGAGAGGTGTGCTGCACCATATGAGGGTTAGCTCCTGGCTGGGGATCAAACTCAGGTCATAGCTGTGATAGTGCTGACACTTAACTCCTAGACACCAGGAAGGCCCCTGAAAATCCAGACTTCTAAAATTTTCCCAAATGGCAGATTTGTTCTCATCTCCTTCCTGTTCCAAGGCTTCTCCTCTAGAGCCTCAGTCAGTCCAAGAAGCATCCTAGCTTGATCCCCTGCTTTGTAAACTGGCACTGGAGATACTGGAGCAGAACTATATGTCATGCATCTGGCTTTGTTCAATCCACATTTGAGTTGGGACAGAAAGAAGAACCCAGAAACTGGGTCTCAGTGACCCATACAAATTCTATTCAGTGGGGGTGGGGGGAAGCAAATATTGTTTAAAAATGAACAATGAGGGCCTCCTCTGGTGGCGCAGATAGTTGAGCACAGTGCTGTGAAGCTGTCTGCAGCCTCTGCAGTGCCAGTTCGATCCTGGCCAGGCAGCGAGGGTCCCACATGGCGTGGCAGACCTCTTCTGTTGTGCCCGCTGCTTCCCTCAGCAGTGTATTTCATCCATCTGCCTGTTCTGTTTCCCGCTCTGTCTGGTGAATCCTCTCACCCTCCCGCGCATCTGGCCTATACCCTGGTTCTTGTATAAAAAAACTTTAAAAAAAAAAGAAAAAAAGGAAAAAAAGTGAAGAATTATGTAAAAAAAAAAAAAAAGAACAATGATGTAAAAAATAAAAAAATTAATAAAATTGAAAAAAAAATTCTGTTCCGTGAATGTAGATGACAGCAAACTGGACAAAGGCAGCCCAGACTTCTAAAAGAAATATTTACATACAGCTGCTTAAAATGAAGGTTTGCCGGAAGTCATCCACATAATTTTCCACTTAACCAGGAAATAATTTCCCTCTAAATGCACAAAATCATACTGGTGTATTGTGGTGGGTTTACACTGATTAATAAATATTTGAGGGCCTCCCTGGTGGCACAAGGAGTTAAGACACAACCTATGAAGCTATCCGCAGCCACTGCAGCATGAGTTTGATCCCCAGTCAGGGAGCTACCCACATGGTGCAGCAGATCTCTCCTGACTCGCCCTCTGCCCCTCAGCAGTGTATTTCCTCAGTCTGCCTGTTCTGTTCCTTACTTTGTCTCTGGCGAATACTTTCACCCCCCCCACCCCCACCCACACACACACACCTCTGGCCTGTTCCCCAGTTCTTGTATGCATAAGTAAATACAAATAAATCTTTTTTTAAAGATTTATTTATTTATGCATACAAGAACTGGGTTGTAGGTCAGAGGTGCAGGAGGTGAGAGGATTCACCAGACTGGGGAGCAGAACAGGCAGATTTACTGAAATACACTACTGAGGGGAGCAGCAGGTGAGTCAGGAGAGGTCTGCTGGGCCATGTGAGTTAGCTCCCTGGTTGGGGATTGAACTCCTGCTGCAGTGGCTGGCGTGAGCTTGATAGCTTGATAGTGCGGAGACTTTAAACCTTGTGCCACCAGAGAGGCCCCATTCAGGAGAATTTCATCAGTAAATAGCTGGTTCAGAATCTTGTTAGGTTGATAAAAATGAAACTATTTGCCTCTTGGAGCTTAAAGGTATATGAAGCTCATATTCACAAAAGGTATATGAGTCCATATTTGTAGCTCTTCTCTTATTATGGAGCTTGCATGTACCTAATTTATCTGACACAGCATAGAAAAACAATTTATGGACTTCTCAGACCAGCCTATCTTCATAAGGTACAAGCCTGAAAAAAAGCCAGTTAAGTCACATAAACAAACCCTATTAGTGGTTAGTATGGGACAGAATATGGGCCATCACTCAAGCAAGCAAGCACATATTGAAGTGATCATAAAGTTTCCAAACAACTTATAATGATGACTGGAATAAGCATCTCAGTCTCTGATAAGAATTGGGGATTATAAAACAAAGACAATCCTGCCTTCAAGAATTTTCTCATCTAATGGAGACGATATCAAAAAGTAAAAAAAATACACAAAACTGAGATATGCTGCAAAGAAAAGAGAGAGGGTGTTAATGAAAACATATAGAAGAATTACTAATGTGGTTGGTAGGGATAATAGTGTCAAGGTTTCCATAAGAAAGGAGAATATAACTGAGTAAGAAGAGGAGAGATTTTATGGTAAAGGGGACAGCAGATGCCAACATTCTCAAGCAGGAAGGAGCACAGATTATTTGAGGAACTGAAGAAAGCCAGTTGGGAAAGAGTGAAAAGACGGAAAAATGGCAGGCTGGTTATGTCATTCAAGATTTTGGCCATTACACTAATGGAATGGAATTCTATCTTCAATGTTAAGATGTTAATAGAACTTAAACAGAAGTAGTAAAATAAACACATCTGCCCTTTCAAATCATCATCCCCATTGTGGGTGTGAGCACTGATTTGGGAGGAGAGTAAGCATCATTATGGAGAGACCAGTAAGTAGGCTATTTGAAGTAATCCACAGAAGAGGCAGGGAGTGGCAGGAAAGAGTTAAGTGGAGGTTTCAAAAGATATTAAAGAGGCAAAATCAAGAGGACTGGGTGATACACGTGGAATGATGAAACAGATCTGTAATCAGTCCCTAGTGATTCCAGAATATAAAACATTCAACTATGTTATCATTAGTAATCAAGCACTGCAGTAAATGTGAAATAGAGGAGTCAGCTCCCTGCTGTTTCCCTGCTGATTTGCCTCCCCATGAAGTTACTAGGGTTTCACTCACTTGTAGAGCAGGCTGGGGGCCTTCACCGTACACCGGAAACCTTGCTGGGTCTGCACCACCTCATAGGCATCACAGGGCTCTTCTGCACATTCCATGAAGCCTGCACAGAAACCATAACATTCTTTCTCAGAGTTGCTGCTTCCCCACTGTCAACCACTCTTGGGGTTTTTAAAAAAGCAATCAACACACAGAAGTGGGACACTTTACTTTGCAGAACACTGTTCTGATTTTCTTTCTGAATGTCTCTTAGAAAAATAAAGAATACAAACCACGTGACTATTTTAAATCTTCTAGTCTTGAAATCTTGGAAAACTATCCTATACATACCATTATTTAACTGTTTTCTCCCAGAAGTTAAAACACAATAAATCTTTTGAAACTTTTTTGGGCAATATAATTCAAGTAACATAAAATTCATCCTCTTGAGAATGTACAGCTTGGTGGTGTTAAGGCCCAAAATTATTTCAGTGAATAAAGTAGGATGATACTGGAAGAAGTGACTCTAGATAGCTGAAACAGAGAAAGGAGGAGGGTGAAAGTAGGAACTCAAAAACTGCAAGACAGAATGGAAACAATGGGGAAAACTTAAGGGAAGACTAGCCTTCAAGGTTTTAGGGCCCAACAGAAAAGATAAAAAACCACAAAGAAAAAAAGAAACAAAGAAACTGAAAGGTCCTACTTATGCATTAAACCCAAGTCAAAGTTAATTAGCCTGAAAATATTTATAATTCATCTCAAGTATTAACTTACTTCTTAAAATCTCCCATACATCATAATAAAGTTACATTAATTATGCATTTGGAACTCCCTGTATAACTGCAAAGACGAGAAAAATAGCAACACAATAATAACAACTAACATTGAGCACCGGCTAAAATATTTTACATATTTTCATTTATTTCAATAATTTATATACATATATTATTTTGCAGCTTTATAAAGGAATTTAATTTTGTCACAGAATATTAATGGTTAACAGTTAACTAAAATTATTCCCCCAATTACATTTAAGCCTCTGTGAAAGGTGAAGCATAAGTTGACTTATGAATCACTGCCACTGAGAACACCTCATCCAATTCAAACTCATCAGTCCCCTAGACAACAACACAAATGTAGCTTTGAAAAAGCCAAACAGGGGCCTCCCTGGTGGTGCAAGGGGTTAAGCACTGCACTATGAAGCAATCCACAGTCTCTGCAGCACAAGTTCAATCCCCAGCCGGCCAGGGAGAAACCTACATGGCAAGGCAAACTTCTCCTGTCTCAGCAGCTGCTCCCCTCAGCAGTGTATTTCGATCAGTCTGCCTGTTCTATTCCCCACTCTGTCTGTGGTGGATCCTCTCCCCGCCCCCGCCACATCTCTGGCCTGTACCCCAGCTCTTGTGTGCATAAATAAATAAATCTTTAAAAAAAAAAAAAAAAGAAAAAGCCAAACAGCTCAAATTTCCCTGCTCAAACATAAACACATGGAAACAAAACAACAAGAATTGCTCTACAGTACAGAGAACATTTTACTTTTCATTTGACCATAGACAACCAAGATCACCTTGATAGAAGTCCTCCTCTTCTTCTTCATGTTGGTAAGTCTGTTCTTGGATAGGATTCTTCCTGTAAATTCGCCCATCAATTTTTACAAGCTGCGGGCGCAGAACTTCCATGATATTTTCTCCAAATAATAAATATTCCAGTGAAATCCTGAAAAAGCAATGATTACCTCACTTTTTGTCAGAAATAAAACTCTATTATATGGATTATTATGTAGACCTGAAAAAACACAATTGGGCATCAGTTCACTGTATTTCCCAAGAAAAGTAACACTATTTTCCACTAGACTTCTCCATGTGGCTGCTCTAAGTCAACTGCTGCATTTTTCCACTACACTATTCCAATTCCATTCCTGGTGCATTCCAGGAATGTAAACTATTGTAAACTATTCAGCATTTAAAAGAAAGAAAGTGATTAAATGTTGTTGATCCCTTTATATAAAGCCTAGCCATGACTTTTAAGAGACCAGAGGGCCTCCCCTGGTGGCGCAGGGGTTGAGCGCTGGGCGCAGCCTCTACAGCGCCGGTTCCTACCCCCACCGCCAGCGAGGGTCCCACAAAAAAAAAAAAAAAAAAAAACAGACCAGCGATCTCTTTATAACTCTACCCTAAAGGGAGCAAAATGCAACCTTCTGTGCCTAGCTAACCATTTGCAAAATATCTCACCCTTTCCATACAGCATGATTAAAAATTAAGAGAATTAGGGATATTTAATACACAGCATAGGGGTGGGGTGAGTACTAAACTGCTGCCTATCAAACAGTATAATGTGACTTAGCCAACATGATTTTTCAAACCAATACACTCCTTAAGGAAGAAATCCAATTTTTATGGGCCTCTGCCAAACAAACTGTACATCACCTACTGAGAATCCAAGCTTCCTGTCACCACCAATAAATCAGTAATTTAGGAAATAAAGGTTCCTATGGGCTAGCTGTGTTTGAGTTCACCCCACATTCCCACCACACAGGGTGGATAGTCTGAAGCTCAAAATACTTAAATGAGCTCCAGAAAAAATGGATGGATCTTTATCAATACCAAATACACAGCAAGTAAGTCAGTCACTTTATCATTTGGTAGTTTGCTTACAGAGCCAAGGAGAGATTCACTGTTGTGAGAAATAAAAACGAAGATTAGCAGCAATGCTGCCAATCTGTGACTATGCAGGTGCCTCTCTCCTTTTCCTAATAAATCTGTCCTTTTAAAATGTGAAGAAATAAAGAAGAAATAAAAAGGAAGATAGACTTAAATGGAGGAAGTATGGGTACAATCAGCAATACTTTAATGACATTACACCTCAGCAAGCCCCTGCTAATCCCCCCCCAGGACCTCTCAAAAAAATAAGGCTCTGGGGCCTCCCTGGTGGCGCAAGGGGTTAAAAAGCAGCACTATGAAGCAATCCCTGGCCAGGGAGCTACCCACATGGCACAGCAGACCTCTCCTGTCTCACCTGCTGCTCCCCTCAGCAGTGTATCTGTGTGAATCTGCCTGTTCTGCTCCCCACTCTGTCTCTGGTGAATCCGCTCACTCACCACACCTCTGGGCTGCACCCCAGCTCTAATATGCATAAATGAATAATTTTTAAAAAAATAATAAGGCTCTCCACAAAAGCAGACTTGAAAGTTATAGTGGGGCCCTCAGACCACGAGCTCTGGAAAATGAGACCGTGTCTCAGTAACAGCAAACTCTTCTTTGCCTTTTCTATACCCCCTGGGGCTCCTAGACAGCTGAGGAGGAAGGACGACTAACCAACTTAACCCGGCTTCGTGGTGGTTTGGAGAGGAAAGCTGAAAGCATGCAATGTTGTGGGGGACTCGGAAGCCCTGAATCCAAAAGCGAAGAAAAACATGAGCACGTCAAAGCGAGTAAAGAGAAGGGCACCCCACTGCCGCAGGCCCACCACCTCGCCGCGAGGAGGTGGAGCCCAAGCTCCTCGCAGGCAGCGCGCTCTCCGCGCCTCTCAGCCCTGGCCACGCCCACAGCAGACCACGCCCACAACAGCACGGGCGCGCGCACGCCGCTGCCACCGCGCGGTGGGGGGGTGAAGGGGATCCCTACGCGCGGGCGCGAGCACGCCGCCCTCCCTGTCGTAGTCAATACGACCGCTCTGGCTGGTCCTGGGGGCGGGGCTGTAGGGGAAAGTAACAAAGTCGCTAAGGTAAGTGGCCGAGTGCTCAGGGACCCTGGGGAGCTTGGTAGAAAGAGTCGATCCCTGGGATCCTACCTGCAGGGACTAGGAAAATGAAGAAGGCTGGAGCACAGACGGGAGCCTGCCGCAGAGGGCGTCTAAGAGGAAATTTCCTCAGGCCGCGCCTGAGTGCGCATGCGGGGCGAGGGGTGGCGCGTGCGCAGTGGGACGGTGCCAGGGCCTCGCCGTCTATAAATGGACCTGAGCGCGTTGCTTGCGGAGTGTGGTTCCGAGAGAGTTTCGGAGTCGCGCTTTGTCCTCTTCCCTTCCAGCTCCTTTCCACCCCACCTGTTTTAGCCACAGCATCTGTCTGAATAGAAAGCCAGATGTTTAAGTAGAACACAGTTGGATGATTTTCGTTGATGATAAAATTTAATGATTGCTTGTAATAATTTGCCATTGTACCAGGGAACTTCAGTGTCTTTTTAATAGATTTCTTGGACCTTTGGTGATTGTTGCCCAGAAATGTGCTGCTTATCTGGGCTTGAAGAAAGGCTATTAAATGGTGAATGAAGGCTCAGGATGAGGAACAGTCGTCGGCCAGTGAATTGGCCTTCTGGTTAAGCATTATTTAGGGGTAGTTTTCTCTGGGCAGTGATTAGGTTTGCAAGTTTCACTGTGTTGAACAGTACCATTAGTTTTTTGCCTATGTGTAGTTTGAGGAAATACATTGTTGCATTTTTAAAAGTTGATTCGTTTTGAGAAAATAGGCGTGTATCTTCTAGGAGGAAAAGCAGTTCATGATTATGAGGTCATCCTTTATCACACATGAAGTAAATGTTTAATCGTTTTATCAGTGTGAACACAGCTTTGGTATGTGCCCAAAAATAGCATTACTCACCTTCAAGGATCTCTACTACCAATCGTCTCAGGTTTCTGATAATACCATACTCCATTTTTTTTTTTTTTTTCATTCAACGCAGTTTTACTGAGTACCTACCTTGGGCCTCACAGCCTAGTAGGAAAGTTATGTTAATCTGAAGAATGAGAAAGAAAAAAATAAATAGTAATGGATCGTCCCTTAGACCTTGAGGGTGGAAAAACAACTTCACTTCCTAGATAAGAGGCGTCTTCCTAAGATCACTTACCTTCAAATGAAAGTGTGAAGTGCATTAATGGAAGGCATTTTCCCTTTTCGAGCAAACCATTACCCCTCTAGGAGCTTGCTTACTCTGTATCAAATGAAGAGAACTTTTCCCATGAGTGTGTTGGGAAATAATAAGTATGAAAAACTGGGATCTGCATAGGGGAAAAAAAATTCAGGAGTAAATATTCATTAGTGATTTTAGATAGCTAATGTTGTTTACTCTGCCTGAAACTGTTGCAAATGCTTTAGTTTATTAACCTCATGGCATCTGTGTGATATAGGTACTATCCCCTATTTTAGAGATGAGGAACTTGAGGGAGAGAAGTGATTGTCCAGAATCCTAAGTTAAGTAGCAAAACTAGGACATGAACCCAGACCAAGAGGCTTCAGAAACTGGGCTCTTAACCACACTCTTTGACCAGTCTCGTGGCGTGTGACGTGCCAACAAAGCCATTGCTTGAATAATGTCACAGCAAATAAGTTAGTCTCTCTCACCTTTAAGAAATCTTACGGTTGCTGTGAAATGCTTAGTGCCCTTAGCAAACATAGATTTAATTCAACAGCTACTTAGTATGTAGGCCAGGCATTGTGTTTGACTCACCAATGATCAGAATGCCTGCCTTCATAGAGATGTTGAAAACTAGGGTTTATTGTTGGTTTCACTTTAACTCCTATTACCACTTGCTGATAGCATTTGATACTTAACATTTAATACCTAAATCTTTTTTTTAAAGATTTATTTATTTATGCATACAAGAACTGGGGTACAGGCCAGAGGTGTGGGGGAGTGAGATGATTCACCAGAGACAAATTGGGTAACAGAACAGGCAGATCAACTGAAATACACTGCTGAGGGGAGCAGCGGGTGAGTCAGGAGAGGTCTGCTGTGCCATGTGGGTAGCTCCCTGGCCAGGATTGAACTCATGCTGCAGTGGTGAACTGCTGCAGTTGGCAGCAGATAGCTTCATAGGTTGCATCTTAACCCCTTTCGCCACCAGGCAGGCCCTCAATACTTAAATCTTTAAAGCTAGAAATTACTTAGGTACATCTTTCCACACCACCCTAAAATTGCTTATTTATGTTAAAGTTAGTTTTGTGCTAAATCTGCCTCTCCAATTTTCAACTCTGGTTGGTTTGTGTATTGAATGATGGAAGTTCTGAGTTTGAAAGAAAATAAAATGAAAGGGAGTCTTTTGATTATATTCATTTTAGAAGCCTAGCTGTGTCTAGTTTTTGAAATTGTCCTCACACTGGAGGTTGCTTGAGTGCTGCTGATTTCAAAATATAAAGTATGCTTTGCGTTTGCAACTTAATCGAACATTTATCAAAGTATAGGAAAAATATTACAGTTTTAAGTCTTAGGTGAGATGTATAGACATTCCACAGTAGGTTTATGCTGAATTGATGGGAGCTCAGACTGAGCTACTCTCCAAAAGATGGCTATATATATTATCTGTATACTTTATTTAAAACCCACCAGGGGGCCTCCCGGTGGCGCAGCAGTTGAGCACTGGGTTGTGAAGCTGCTCAATCCCCGGTTCAATCCCCATGGTGCGCAGAACTCTCCTGCTGCCCGCTGCTCCCCTCAGCAGTGTACTTACATCAGTCTGCCTGCTCTGCTCTCCCCTCTGGCTCTGGGGAATTCTCTCACCCTCCCGCGCTTCTGACTATACCCAGTGCTTGTATAAATAAATAAATCTTTAAAAAAAAAAAACTATTTAAAAAAATAAAATAAAATAAAATAAAACCCACCAGGAAGCCACTTAGAAATTTGGACCTGGTCCATTGCTGTTTAAGTTTTTTTAAAGAGCATTTAAAAACTTGTGAAACTATATTTTGAGCTAGTGTAACCCAAAGGATTGAGTATGAACCCAACTTGAGAAATTTTGCCTCTATGAATATGAATACTATTTGGAAAGTTATAGAACTCAAAGAAAATAGGAAAGGTGACCTAATAGCAAGATTGAAATGTCATTAATCAATTTGCATTTTAAACAGGTTGACATTCTAATTATAGCAGCTGTCTTACAGTTCCCATATCCCACTTCAGTACTGATCAGTATTGTAGACATATAATGAAATGAGAAAATAAGCTCTGCTTCCCTGACAGTCTTAATTCATCATCACAAATTCAAAGAAACAATAATCAGCATTTCAGAAATGCCTAGTGTATCATTTTACTTTCTAGGAAACTGGATTATGTGTATATAGGATTTATATCTGCATAACATTCACTCTTTTTTTTTTTCAGAAATAAGTCAACTTTTTATAACAAATGGTAACAAATGAAAAAAAGTCAACAAAAATTCTGACCATTAAAACAGGGATTTTAATTTAAAAAAATCCTTTTACAGTCATTTCTTTAAATTTTAAAATATGTAACATACAATTAACCACTAGCCCTTTTAAAGTGTACAGTTCAGTGTAAAGTCATTTTTTACTCTAAATATTAGAGCTGCACTATCCAATCCAGTACCACTAGCCACATGGGGCTATTTAAATTTTGGTTAACATTAAATAAAATTTAAAATACAGTTCTTCAGTCACATTAGTTTAGTAACCAATGAAGCTAATGGCTACCAAATTGGATAGTGCAGATAGAAAATTGGAACATTTCTTCGGCGGCTTTCCTGCCTGGCTGTGATTATACAGGTGCCTCTCTTTTTATTTCTTCTTTACATAATAAACCTGCCCTTTTAAAATGTAAAAAAGAAAGAAAATTAGAACTTTCCATCGTGGCAGAAAGTTCTGAGACTCTTTGTAGAAAACACACTTAGAATCTTTTGTGAATGTGTGGTTTAAGCATCTATAGAAGAAGTTGTGTTTTTGTTCTGAAATTTTGTAAGTAGTTATGTATTCATGTACAGATTTACATTTGTAAATGTAAATTAAACAGCTATCTGTATTCCTAATAGGCCATGCATTCCAAGACAATTTTCTGGGCTGTTTTGTTCCAGCTTTGGGATGCCACCAAGTGATTGGTTTGGGTATTACATTTAGGTGAAAATTCTGGTTTTTTTTTTTTGTTTTAATTTTTAATGAAAGGGTCAATATATATTTCCTAATCATTGCCCCTTCCTTGGGAACAGAACACAGTGTTATTCTGGAATTCTATTTGGAAAATTTCATAAGTGAATTTCTTGATGTGACTTGGTCAGGATGTATCCAAGGCAGTATGAGGCTTGGTTGTTTATCTTTGTATGTAATTTATTTCCTCAGTAAAATTACTATAGTAACATTGCCATATCACCCTTTTGTAAGTCAGTCCAAAGTGACAGAAACAGTTTGCTAATGGTAGAAAGTAGTGTTTTAAATAGAAAAACAATTCTTAAACATATTTTCATGTAAATTTTGGAATGGTGAGAGTATTGAGGGTAGGGAAAAGGGGGAGCTAATTCTTTATTAAACTACATGCTGACTGTTATGGTAGCCAGACTGAAATGTCAATCTCACCTCCATAAACTTGTCAATTGCTGTTTTTCTTTCTCTGTAGTGAAGTGAGAATTCTACTAGAGAGGAAATGGCTGCCTCTTCATCATCATCCTCAGCTGGTGGAGTCAGTGGAAGTTCTGTCACTGGATCTGGTTTCAGTGTGTCAGACCTTGCCCCACCACGGAAAGCCCTTTTCACCTACCCCAAAGGAGCTGGAGAGATGTTAGAAGGTGATCTCATGCTGCTTTTTGCTGAATAATTGGATTCAGACCTGCAGTGAATATTAATTTTAAAAAAGCTTTTAAGTGGATTAAAGACGAGTTTCCCCTTACTTCAGCTCCACATTTCATCTCTTGTCCCCATTTTAAAATACCACCTTAAAAACAAATATTTTCCCCCAGAATCATAATTTTGGAGCCAAAGGAGGCTGGAAATCAAGGAGGTCATCTAAAGTTCTTTAAATCAGAGAAGCTAATGTGATTAGACAATGTTAAATAAAGACAAAGTCAGCACTAGCATCAGAAATTTTTTTGACCTCTTGCTCTAGTTTAATTTATTCTCTCCCTAGTCTGGCTCCTTAGGGTTAGTGGGTTTGATGTGTTTTTCTTAATGTAATCAACCTATAGATACTTTAACCTCATCAGAGAGGTTTTAAGAGGAAACAGGGATAGTGAAGATGACTCACTGCAGGACAGTGCTGTGTGGTTTTTCTAGGGCTAAGCCGGATTTGCATCACATCATCCACCATCTTATTTAGCACACATCTTGTGAACTGGCTTGCCAAGACCAGGGCACAGGTTATAAGCATGAAACAGCATTGGCACTTGGAATTCGTCAGATTCATGTCTCTTTAGGAGCCAAACTGATAAATTCTTACAGGAAACATAAAAATCACCTAAGAGTGTATTTAAAAATGTACATTGCTGTTCCACCTTAGAGATTCTGAATTGGTCTAGGATGCAGCACAAAATGTCATCAGTCCTTTTATGTCATGGGATTGTCATGAAAGTTGTTCTTAACTATTGAATTATTTCTCATAGTTTTATAACAGTCAGCAAAGAACCTATTAAAGATTCAGAATCTATATGATTATAGTACTTTTGTGCTTAATTGATTAATTGATCTTTTCTGCTTTAAATATTGAAAATTTTGATAAGCATATTTAAAAATTAAGTTGGAAATGTCTCTGAGAAAGGCACAAACTGTAGTTAAGGAGTTGATTTTTTATATCAGATGTAGTAAAAAGCAGAGTTTTGATTAAGGCAGGGCAAGTAGCAAAATCATTTGTAACAGGAAAACATGGGGAGACTTGGACCACATGTCTCCCTAAAATTGGTCAAATCATGATTAGGAAGTAGACAATCAGTGTCATTAGTGATACGTTTGAGGTACATGTATTTCTACCTTTGCATTTTTATCTTCTTCGGTTGTGTTACCTGAATTGTCAAGATAGTGTTACTGAGTCTGGAGGTAGTGAACAATTGGGGCCTTGTTTAACATGTTTGGCACTAAAAATATTTTATTATTTCAATTATATGCAACACAGACATGTTATTAAGGAAGTTCCCCACAGGACAAATCAAAAGTTGGAGTAACTTAAATTGCTTAATAAGTTTTATAGTAGCAGCAGAGGAATCAATGTTTAACAATGGACTTTAAGATTGAAGTCATTTAAATTCTAACTGCAAGAGAAATTTTATATAAGAGGAAACTGCTAGTCTCAAAGCTGTCAGCATTCTTTGTCAGCATATACCAGAATACTTGGAAAGTTTAAAGAAGAAAGTCTTCTGAGGTTATTCTAAATGTTGATATTCTAACAAATTAGAGTTCTAGCCATTTTCATTCCATCCCAGTTGGCTTCATGGAGGAAAGTATTGGCTCTCTATTGTAAGATGAATTTAAATATTGTCTAAACTCACAGTACACTGCTCTGATTCTTTCAGGTTTAAAGTTTCACCTATGTCTTAAAAGCTTATTTATTCTAAAGGACAGGGGCCTCCCTGGTGGCGCAAGGGGTTAAGACTCAGCCTATGAAGCTCACCGCAGCCATTACAGCCCAGGTTCAATCCCCAGCCAGGGAGGTGACCCACATGGCACAGCAGACCTCTCCTGACTCGCCCGCTACTCCTCTCAGCAGTGTATTTCAGTCAATCTGTTCTGTTCCCCACTCTGTCTCTGGTGAATCCTCTCACCCCCCAAAACTCGGGCCTGTACCCCAGTTCTTGTATGTATAAATAAATAAATCTTTAAAAAAAAAAAATAGGGCCTCCCTGGTGGCGCAGTGGTTGAGTGCTGGGTTGAGAAGCTGCCCGCAGCCTCTGCAGCGCCGGTTCGATCCCCGGCCCCCGGGCTAGGGTCCCACATGGTGCGCAGACCTCTCCTGCTGCCCGCTGCTCCCCTCAGCAGTGTACTTCGTCACTCTGCCTGTTCTACTCTCTGCTCTGGCTCTGGTGAATTCTCTCACCCTCCCGCGCCTCTGACTGTACCCAGTGCTTGTATAGATAAATAAATCTTTATAAAAATAAAAAAATAAAGGACAGACTATTGAAAATTAAAGATGAGAATTCCTAAACTGCCATCTGGGTTAATTAAGAATACTAAATTAAAAAGAGCATTCCTAAATGTGAGTTAATAAGGATATTAGATTTGGAAGCATCTTCTTTTACCTTCTTTATAGATGATACTATTATGCAATTAATCTAATGCATATGTACCTTCACATTTTTCTTACAGTAACATAATAGAACATGAAAATAGACAATTGCCTATTCACAATAAAGAACAAAAGCAATCAGAAGTCAAGGTTGGATTCTGTTTATAATCTTAACAGGTTCAACTTGATCTTGCATATGCCAAAGTCTAGGATAAAAAACCCAAATAACCTGCAGTTAACCTTGTGAATTAACTTTTTCTCTCATCTGCTTTCTGATAACAGACACCTCACATAAGCAGTGTACAGCAGTTTTCTGTGTTCCCCTGCCCTTGGTTAAGATTGTCCTAACCCAGTTATTAGTGAGCAGATTAGAGACTGCCTTCCAGCCCAGAAGTGGCTGAATTTTAGTGACATTGTAGGCCACTGAAGTATAAATTATCTGGCATTGTCTAATTTCCTGCTGTGAGGTAATATTCTTTTAAATGAATTTGTTAGCATCCTACTTACTGGAGTTGTCAGTGGTGTTAGATTTGGGCAATTTACTGACTTTTCACTCTAACCTTTGCTTGCCCCTTAAGAAGAGAGCTGATGTGTTGCTCCAAAGGGTTTGATTACAATTTCTAAGTGGTAGGCAGGTTGCCCCAGGCTGACTTCTCTCTGGAGAAACTCCAGGCTTTAGATTGGTACAGATATCACATATAATAGGATGTGGCTAAGAAGCAGTGAACTTTGTGGTTAACACAGAACTGCAAATCAGCAAAAGTGTGTTCCATAGGCATACAAAGTGGCAAAGTGATATGCAGGTGCCTTTTTGAAAGATAAGCTTATATGCTTTTGCTTTGAAGTTCACTAGCAAGGGAAATATGCAAATGTTAATAACTTAAGCATTTTATCCTAATAGCACCTGTGATTAAATGTAAGTGGGTGGTAGCACTGTCAAGAGCTTCCAAATACATCTTTGCCTGATCCTTATAGCCCATAATCCCTGCTGTCTTGTGTGAGAGCCTGAAGTTTAGGATCAAACCACCTGAAAAGTAAGCTCTAATTCTCTGTGCTTTTCTCTTTCTAAAATAAAACAGGAGTAATAATTTGAGTCTTTAAGCAGGGATAGGAATAGGTTAATGAATGCTGGCAAATGAATTACATTCAGGCACAGGAATGGGGTTGGAGGGAAGGGGTTGAATCATATCCCATAAAGCACAATACATAGAAAAAAATGTTGAACTGAGAGAATGTAACACTTTCCCTAAAGCATACATCATAATATTTATATTTATTTTTATTTCTTGGCATCAATTTTAAAGAAGCCTCCTTGGTTTTGCATTTAAGCCATTTGAATACAATATATTTAGGGTTTTTTTTTTATTGTTTACCATGACTTCTGAAATAAGATCTGCCATGTGTAAAACTCAGCATGTGTTTATTTCATTGATACTTGATGCCTGGCTGACACACCAACCTGTGATTGATGGTTGAGTGTTTGACACCTAGTAATACTTTCACAAACTACCACCTAAAAAAAGACAGCTGTGTCCTCTACTTCTGTTTGTCTTAGGATTTTTGCAATAAAACACAATCCCCAAATGGTTTCCGCAGCCCCTTCTAAAAATCACGTTTTCCTGCATGACTTTTTGTCTTTTGGGGTACATTTTGCTGTATCAGCCATTGCCTGACAAGAAATAACTTGAACCAGCTTATGTTTCACAATCATCTTCCAAGAGCACTGGTGACTGAGTTAGCTACCTTCTTGCTGCCAGTTCTTGGCAGTAGTACAATGCTAGGTTTAGAAATTGCACCATACTCTTATCGCCATCCAAATTGCAGTGTTTTGGTTCACTTGGAAAATCAAGGTTGCAATTTGCGTTTACAGAATGAAATTTCCCAGCAGTGTTTTGTGATGGTCATAGTGATGTAATTTGATATATTAAAATCTACAACAGCTGCTTTTCCCTCAACGTTACTTGAGAATGAAAATGAAAATATTTTGTTCCTTTGTATTTTGATAGCAGAGGTCATGTGACCAAATGTGTCAGCTGTCAGTGTTTGCCTGACGTACAGAAAAGGAGAACATTAAGAAACTCAGGTTGGTAGGGAGGGAAATGTTCAGGACATTAGACTGAGGTTTCTTGTTTTTGTTTTTTTAAACACTATTTTCAAACTCTTAAACGAGTAGAGGGACTATTTTAATATTCTAGGTATAGAAGTAGCTTCTATAACAGAGCAGTGTTAGTTCTAAATGAGACAGAAGCCCTCTTTGTAAACACTGAAAACTAGACCCCAAATGTAAAAGCAGGGCAAAGAATGAATACGTTTACTTGGTTTATCAGAAGCCATAAAACCCTTAGAACAGATTAAAACCTTTCCTCTTCTGTTTGTAGATGGCTCTGAGAGATTCCTCTGTGAATCCGTTTTCAGCTATCAAGTAGCATCTACACTTAAACAGGTGAAACATGGTAAGCTCATGGGCGTTGTGGACTTAACTATGAGAATAAATTTACTGAGGGGTGGGAGAGGGATTCAGAAAGGTCAGTGTTCTCCTTGACAAAAACTCCTGAATCCCAGCAAAGCTATTTAAGTGAGCTTTCTAAATTACCTACAGACAAGAACATTCCATGGTCTTAATTCGGACATAATGTCCACATTAAGGCTTATAGTTGAAGTCAGAAAGGGTTTAGTTTTCTAGAGGGATTGATGCTTCCTACTTCTCTTCTGTTGCCTTTTCCTCTCTTAAACCTTCTTTTACTGTTGCTCTCCACTGGTTATCATCTTCATCTTCAAGTATTTATGTAATACCTCGTAGTCTGTGGAGTCTGAGAAGCCTGGACTCGAAGATACTAGATGTACCTTTACTGTTCCAGCATGCCTCAGCAGGCCTTCATTTGTGCATCAGGGAGCTCTGTTCCCCCACCAGACCATTTCTCCATTGAAAGCATAATGTTGGAGCAGAAACTACAATTTCCTTTCACCCTAGGATTCTAGTATGCAAGTCACTATGGTATGAAGGATAAGTATTATTTTATATAAGATTAAGTTTTCTGACCAACACAGAGTAAGACCGCATTACTAGAATATTGAGGGGAAGAATCTTTTTAGAAGTTATTTTCAGACACATCATCATGTTGGTGATTAGTGGCTATCTCATGGCAAATCCATTGTGTATTATACATTACCTCCTTGACTCTCTACAGATCAGCAAGTTGCGCGGATGGAAAAACTAGCTGGTTTGGTGGAAGAGCTGGAGGCAGATGAATGGCGGTTTAAACCCATTGAGCAGCTGCTGGGGTTCACACCCTCTTCTGGTTGACCTTGCCTGGCTGGGTCCCTCTGGTGCACAGCAAGTGCAGGGCCAGCGAGGGACTGTTCTTATGCTTTCATCGCCATCCTGAGATTCATAGCTCCATCATTGAATTGTTCATTCACATCATACTTGGCTTTTCTGTACCTGTCCCCAAGCAACAAATATTTAAATGTGTGATCTCCCAGGGAAAATTTTTGTTTATTTATTTTTAAAAAATACTGAGAATCAGATTAGGACAATCAACTTCAGAAGCCAGGAGTTTGGGTTAAGAGATATTTATAAAACTTCACATGCCAGGTAAGACACATGCCAGAACTGATCAGTTGAATGGCATCTCTCCTATTACTCATTTAGTGTCTGGAATCCTCACCAGTCAAGTCCAAGGTCATCATCTGGAGTTGTAAAATACAGAATTCCTGACCTAAAACAGTTCTTTTGGCAGATGAAGGGGATTTCAACTCAGGACCTGTCCAAATGAATTTTTTAATGTTTGGGGTTGAGGGTTCTTTCTATTCCGAGACATCTAATTCTATAGATTATAACTTTTTCTAATCTCTATTAGACATGCCAGATACTGGGAAAAGGAATTGCTTTTTGAATGTTGAAGCACTTGTGAAAATAAAGCAGTGGGCAAAATCCTTTTAAACACAGAAATCCTGAGTTCATTTCTTTGGTGGGCTCAAGCAATTCTGTAGCAAATAAATCCTTTGAAAGAGCTCCAAACTGGTTTCTTTATCCTTTCAAAGTCTCAGGGATTTAGGGTAGAAGGAAGAGGTCAAATTACTTTTTATAAGAACAGAATCTAAAAGCCATTTCTCCTAAGCAAATGGTAGATTTGCTTTACCTCAGGGGTGTTTGTCTTTACAGAAGTATATGAATTTATCTTATCAATATTTGAGTAGGTTTAATACCGTGAAAGCTAAGAATTGTCCTTTGTCCTCCCTCATGGGTCCACACTGCAGTTAGGAGAATCATTTATTAGCTTGTCTGCAAGTTTTGCCTCAGACAACATTTGCCTTTCTCCTCATTAATAACTTGCACCTGACCTGCTTAGAGTTGCTTAATTATAAATAAATATAATCCCGACAGCAATTGCCCTTAATCTTAGGAGTTCAAAATATTTAACATGTACTACCTGACAGGGAGTTGGTGACCTCATTGTATTGGTAAAGAATCAGAGCACATGGAAAGTAAAGGCCTACACATGATCACATCTCCCAGGCAGAAGAAAATCTTGGACCTTGGAATAGAATGCAGTTGATTGTTATTTCAGCTTACTGTATTCTTGTCTCTAAAGCAAATCATAACATAAAAATGAGCCCAGACTCACCTATCCCATATTAATATTTCTCAAGCTAAACAAGTTCCATATATGTACCTTTTGACATTAACCCTCTTAATGTTCACCAAAGGAAAAATGGAAAAATAGCTAGACACCAGTAAACCAAATTTTCAGTGACAGTTTAGACGTAATCACAAACTTTCTTTCATTTGTTTCATTTGTATAGCTATATAACACAGAGACTATATTACTGCATCTTTACCCTTTGGTGTTTGGATTTATTATAGAATTTTTTTCTGTTTTTATTTTTTTAAAGATTTATTTAGGCATATAAGAACTGGGGTACAGGCCAGAGGTGTGGGGGTGAGAGGATTCACCAGAGACAGAGTAGAATAGAACAGGCAGATTGACTGAAATACACTGCTGAGGGGACAGTGGGTGAGTCAGGAGAAGTCTGCTACGCCATGTGGGTAGCTCCCTGGCCAGGGATTGAACTCGTGCTGCGGTGGCTATGAATAGCTACATAGGTTGCATCTTAACCCCTTGCACCACCAGGGAGGCCCAATATTTTTTTCTTTATATTGGACATTTTTCTTAATAGCTTAGCATTGACGACATCCCAGGATTGAACAGAAATGCTTTCTAAAGTAACTCTCACCATGATTATTAGCTGCTACTTAAGTTCCCCACAATCAAGACCCTCACTATGTTTTATAGGATGTCTGCTCCCTCTCTGTACCTTTTTGTTTATCATTATGTCTCATCATCCCTAACTCTTATTAGCAAGCTTTGGGCTTGAAGATGGACCTTGTTGCTCGTCTGTCATCTCCTATGCACTTAATTATTTGTCACTCACAGGCATTAATTATCCTGTCAGTAATGCTGCGACATATGTAATACCCCCTAATACAGAAGAGGAACTTGAAACTCAGAGCGAGCATTATTTGCCAAAGCTTCATAGCTAAGTAAATGTCTAAGTCTAGATTTGAACTCAAAATCTGACAAACTCCAAAGCTAATGTTATTTGAGCCACACCATGTTTTATCCCACTGAACCAAACCCAGTGCCTTAAATAAAGCAGAATCCTAAAACCTTTTTATTAAATAATAAAATGAATTGGGAGCCTCCCTGGTGGTGCAAGGGGTTAAGTCTCAGCACTGTGAAGGAATCCACAGCTGCTGAAGCACGAGTTTGAGCCCCAGAGCCCCGGCCAGGTAGATAACCCCCACGGTGCTGCAGACCTCTCCTGTCTCGCCCTCTTCTCCCCTCAATAGTGTATTTCAGTCAATCTGCCAGTTCTGCTCCCCACTCTGTCTCTGGTGAATCCTCTCACTCCCACACCCCACGCCTCTGGCCTGTATCCCAGCTCTTGTATGCATAAATAAATAAAATCTTTTTTAAAATTTTTGAAAAAATGAATTGGGCCTCCCTGGTGGTGTAGGAGTTAAGTCTCAGCACTACTGTTATTGCTGTGGCCTGAGTTTGATCTCTGGCCAGGGAGCTAACCCACATATGGTGCAGCATACCCCTGCTGTCTTGCCTTCTGCTCCCCTTAGCAGTGTATTTCAGTAGATCTGCCAGTTCTGCTCCCCACTCTGTCTTAGGTGAATACTCACCACCCACACCTCTGGCCTACACCCCAGTTCTTCTATGCATAAATAAATAAATAAACCTTTTGAAAAATGATAAAATGAATTAACTGCCTTTATCCTTCCAATGCTTGCTGATAAGATTTTCTTTTTTTTTTTTTTTTATTTATTTATTTTTTTTATATATAGAGGCATGTTTTTTTTTATTTATTTATTTGTTTGTTTGTTTGTTTTGTTTATACATGCACTTGGTACAGTCAGAAGCGCGGGAGGGTGAGAGAATTCACCAGAGCCAGAGCGGGGAGCAGAGCAGGCAGAAGGACCGAAGTACACTGCTGAGGGGAGCAGCGGGCAGCAGGAGAGGTCTGCGCGCCATGTGGGACCCTCCTCCGGTGGCCGGGGAGCAGCCGGGGATTGAACCGGCGCTGCAGAGGCTGCGGGCAGCTTCGCAACCCAGCGCTCAACCGCTGCGCCACCGGGGAGGCCCGCTGATAAGATTTTCAAGCACAACGAACAAACACCCTCCTCTTTAAGACTGATAGGAATTAGCTATGTATTCGTGTGTGTGCATAACCTTTTAAGATTCACTACGGTGAAGGCCTCCCTGATGGCACAGAATTTGAAGTCTCAGCACTGTCAAGATTCACTGTGGTGAAGATATAGTTGGAAGCTTAAGGAACAGCTGAGTAAGCAAGGAGCAGTGCAAGAGTGCAGGTGGCAGCTGGTAGCCAGGACCACACAGCCATCCTAAGAACACTGATGGTAACGGTGTATTCTGTGCATAAAATGCTTGCAATTTCCAAAGCATTTTCACAAATGTCTCGATTCACAGTACTGTCACATCAGCCATGAGATAAGTGAGACAGCACTGTAAGTTGAGGAAGAGGCACAGAGAAGGTAAGGCATCAAGATTATAGTCAACAGGCAAAGAAACTAGGTTTTTCAAATCTTTGTCTTCTATTTCATCTTATGCTAGAAAATCTGAAAGAATTTGCTGCTAATAAAAACAGTTTGTGTCAATATGATACATAATTCCGTATAACTTGTCTCATGGTAATGATATACAAATAAATAGTAATCTTCAATAAAGTTGATTTTTACAAAGTTGATTTTTTTTTAAAGATTTATTTATTTATACAAGAACTGGGGTACAGGCCAGATGCTCAGGAGGGTGAGAGGATTCACCAGAGACAGAGCAGGGAACAGAACAGGCAGACTGACTGAAGTACACTGCTGAGGGGAGCAGCGGGCGAGACAGGAGAGGTCTGTCACGCCATGTGGAACCCTCACCGGCAGGCCGGGATCAAACCTGCACTGCAGAGGCTGCAGACAGCTTCACAGCACTGCGCTCAACCGCCTGCGCTACCAGGGGAGGCCCCAAAGTTGATTTTTGTTTTACAAAACAAAAATTTTACTCTACATTTTATTATCTATGATCAGATTATAAAGTCCTGAGTTTTCATGGAAACACATAAATGTGTTATTAGCGCTGTATCATCCCTAGTACTCACTCGAAATGACAGTGGTCTGGAACTCTAAATCAAATTCCTGATCCAAGGACCTCTCTTTATGCTGCCCACTTAATTGCAGTTGATGGCTTCCTTTCCTTCTCATGATTGAGAATCCTAAAATCCCTGTCCCCAGTCAGAGCACCAGGCATTACAATGGCAGAAACCTTGGACCATCACATCAAATAAGAGGTAAAAAAAGGAGACAGGACCAGGAGAGATCCATCCTCCAGAAGGAGGAGGAGGAACCTGCCCAGGGACATGGTGCTCTTTCAGGCACACCTGAGATGCCACACTTGAAGGAGAAGGTCTGGTTTTGCCACATTTCCTTGTAATTGCCTGAAGTTCCAACCGAGACAGACTCTTTCCACAAAAAGAAACAAAGGCTTAAATAACAAATATTTGGGAGTGTTGACTCTTGGGTTATAGACAGAGTACAAATGATACCAGATCTTTTCCTGTTTCCCAGAGCTGAGCTGGGGATGGAGATAAGCCAAGAGAGGAGGAGAATGGGGGAAAGAAGCTGGAACTTGATGTTTCATCACTAGCCTTATTTATCTGCAACTGATCATAGAGCAAGTCTCAGAATTTTAGAGATCATCTAGTTCGCCCCCATGGTTTATAGATAAGAAGTTGAGACCCTGTTTGTCTCATTCACAGCCACTTGCTTGGTACCTAGAACACAGCCTGACACAAAGTAGGTGTGTTACATAGTAGGTATTTACTGAGTGAATGAGTATGGATTTGGTGTCTGTTTACCCAGTTTTAGAAGTTGTACTAGCAATTTCTAGAGCAAAATTCATAGTCGAGTAGGCCTAAAGTTAATGGAGATAGGGAGAGAGCAGAACCAATATCATAATCCAGATCTTATCCATGTGCTCTCTATAATGCTACACTCTCAGGTGAGAGCTGTGAACAAATGGAAACTGTGCCAAAGCAGCCATATCTTACATGATCCCGTTCACGTGCAGAGCAAAGGCAAATGATGCTGGTGACTCCTGCCCTTCTCCTGGGCTCCCGTATGTGGGCCTGGTGGTAATTAATGCCAGGTGTTAGCATCCCTGTGCTAGTCTTCATCTCCCTAGATACTTTAATTTCTCCATTGTGTCCATTCTGGAGAGGAGCTATTTTCCAGAATCATCTTGTTTCATTTTTATAATACAAGCTCTTTGGGGTAGGTAATGAAACAACATTACATTTCAACAACATTACATTACATTACAACAACATTACAATATAATTTATTACCAACAAAAATATGAGAAATGGTGGGCCTCCCTGTTGGCACAAAGGGTTAAGCACCACACTATGAAGCAATCTGCAGCCTCTGAAGCATGAGTTTGATCCCTGGCCGGCCAGGGAGAAACCCACATGGTGAGGCCGACCCCTCCTGTCTCGCCCGCTGCTCCCCTCAGCAGTGTATCTCAGTCAGTCTACCTGTTCTGTTTCCCACTCTGTCTCTGGTGAATCCTCTCACCCCCTGCATCTCTGGCCTGTGCCCCAGCTCTTGTATGCATAAATAAATAAATAAATCTTTTTTAAAAATATATATGAGAAATGTTCCTTTCCAAATGTCATTCATTCAACAGACATTTATTAAGCACTTACTATGTCTAGCATCTGCTGAAGCCGGGAATATGCTGTCAAAAAAAGTCACCAACCTGGTGTTTATAAATATCTTGAGAGACAAAAGGGTAATTTTAAGTGTAAAAATAGAGGAGAAAGCAAGAGATACTGTGAATCAGAGATAGCTAATCCGCTGAGCATGGGATCAGAGAATGCTTCCTAGAAGGGTAATGTTTAGGTTGAGATATGAAGAACCAGTGGGTTGGGTGGAAGGGAAGTACTTTCTAGGTTGAGGGAATAAAATATGCAAAAGTCCAAGGGTGAGAAAGGGCATCAAGCTTTTGTGAGGCTGAAGGTGCTTTGTCATGGCTGGTTCATAGAGTATAAAGCAAGAGATGAGACAGGTGACTGGCCTTGATGGATTTTACTAAGGAATATGAACTTCAATTAGAGGACAGTGAGGAACATTTAAAGGGTTTGAAGTAGGGGAACAACAAAATCTGGTTTTACTTCAGAAATTTTCTGGTTTTTTAAGAAGATTTATTTATTTATGCCTACAAGAAATGGGGTACAGGCCAGAGATGTGGGGGGTGAGAGGATTCACCAGAGACAGAGCGGGGAACAAAACAGGCAGACTGACTGAAATACACTGCTGAGGGAAGCAGCAGGCGAGATAGGAGAGGTCTGCTGTGCCATGTGGGTCACCTCTCTGGCCAGCAGGGGATAGAACTTGTGCTGTGCTGCAGTGGCTGCAGATAGCTTCATAGTGCTGCGACTTAAACCCTTGCACCGCCAGGGAAGCCCGACTTCAGAAATTTTCTTTGGAGGGGATGGGTAACAGTAAAATCGAGATCTTTTAGGAAGCTGTTGTGGAAATCCAGGTGAGAGTTGACTACAACCTGAATTAAAGACCTGGAGACAAGAATGAATTTGATTTGAGAGCTACTCAAATATCAATATATACAGGACTTGGTGATAAGTCAGACAGAATTGAGGGAGGACAGCCAGTTTCCTTGTGTCAGGAGCTGAGGGACTGACGGTACGATTCACTGACATGAGGTTACAGAAAGAGGAGCAGGCCCAGGAGATGTCCAAAAGGCAGTGGCTCTGTGGGTCTGTAACTCAGGAGAATGATCTGAACTGAGTTAGATTTGGGACTCACTAGCCTGGAGAGACTTAAGAAGCCAAAGATGGAGGTGGGGGTGGAATCGCCCAGGGACAGAACGCTTGAAGTGAGAAAAAAATTAGATCAAGGCATGATCACTGAGGAACCCTGACGTTTAAAGGACAGACACAGGAGAAGGAGTTCAGGGAAACAATTGGCAGGAGGACACCAGAGAGATAGAAAACCAGGAGTATGGCATCAGAGAGACCAAGGGAAAGGACCTTTAGAGAAGGAGACTGCAAACGGTAGTAGCTAGTGTTGCCAAACAATGAGTGAGATAAAGGTAGGAGAAGGCCTTTGGATACTGCTATGAAGACCGTTGGTGACCTTGTCTAAAAACCATACCTCTCAGGGGTGTTAGTAGAGATAGATCCAGACTGCTGTGGGAAGGTGAAAAAGTAGGGCCAAAATAGGGACACTTTTAAGAAGTTCAGTGGGAAGAGGAGACCAAAAAATGAGGGAAAGAGAGGATGATGTTTGTTTTTTAACTTTACAATGGGAGAGGTCAAAAAGGAAGGGGGTAATTGAGGGTGTAAGGTCCCTGAGGACGTGGGAGGGGATTGGATCCAGAGCCCAGTTGGAGTGATTACTCTTAGAAGGAAAGGAAAGAGAAAAAAAAAGTGCTGATGTCGGTAAATATGTAGGTGAGGAGGCAGCTGTGAAGTTGAAGGAGTTCCCATCTAATGGCTTGTTTTCCCTGAAGAATGAGAGTTGATGCACTGCCTGTGCTAAGGGGCAGGAGAAAGTGGGAACTTTGGGAGTCCGAAGACTGACCAGGTCAGAAGGTTGCCAAACACACTCAGGGACCTATTGCAGTTAGAATCCCTGAATTCACAGTGGCACCACTCTGGGGAAGTATATCAATAGCTCCTGGCAGCCTCAGTGGGAATGGAAAAAAA